ACCCCCGCCCCCTCCCGCCCCGAGGGCCCTGCCGGGAGCGGCTCGGCCGGAGGAGGAGGCCGAATCCCAGCTCCGCTGGAGCAGGGGGTGGTGTCCGCCTTCAAGCAGCTCTACAAGCGGGAATTGTTGCGCCTGGCCGTCTCGTGCGCAGCTGGCGGCGGCGGCTCCGGTGGCCCCATGGACTTTGTGCGGTCCTTCCTCCTCAAGGACATGTTGTACCTGGCCGGCCTCTCCTGGGACCTCATCCCCCCTGGCTCCATCGAGAAGTGTTGGCTCCTGGGGCTGCGCGCTGCCTTCGAGCCCCAGCCCGGGGAGGAAGAGCACGGAGACCCTCCGCACGGGGAGGAAGGTGGTGGGGACAGCAAAGTCTTTAGCGACCTGACCCACCTGGCCGCGTTGGCCTACAAGCGCTTGGCTCCTGAGGAGGTGGCTGACTGGTTGCACTTGGACGACGTGGCCCCGGGTACAGAGGAGGACGATGGGGAGGAGGACGCTGAGGAGGAAGGCCCCGGGGGCTGAGCCCGGGGAGGAAGAGCACGGAGACCCTCCGCACGGGGAGGAAGGTGGTGGGGACAGCAAAGTCTTTAGCGACCTGACCCACCTGGCCGCGTTGGCCTACAAGCGCTTGGCTCCTGAGGAGGTGGCCGACTGGTTGCACTTGGACGACGCGGCCCCGGGTACAGAGGAGGACGATGGGGAGGAGGACGCTGAGGAGGAAGGCCCCGGGGGCTGCGGGGCAGAGGAGGAGGAGGAGGAGGAGGCAGCTGCCGGAGACGGGGGTGGCAGAAGGGGTGGGGAAGGAGGGGATGCCTTGCTGCCCACGGCTCGGGAAGCCATCAAAGGTCTGGAGACGGCGCTGCGCTGGCTGGAGGGTCAGGACCCCCGGCAAGTGGGGCCGCTGAAGCTGGTGCAGCTCCGCTCCCTCATCAGCATGGCCCAGCGGCTGCACCGCGGTGGCAGTCCCCATTCCTAGGGCAGGGTGAACCGCAACCTCTCGGCTACCAACCGCCCCGCTTGGGGTGGGGGGACACGGGGCTGGGACATGCCGGTTGTCCCAGGGGGCTGGCGGTGGAGGTGCTAGCTCCCTGCACCCCTCTGTCACGGGCGGTCCCTGGGGCTCAGGAGGCCCGAACGCCCCTGGGTTACCACGGCTAAGAGCGGGTTACAGTTTAGGGCTAACAGGGAGGGGGGTTTGTGCAACAACCCCTCCGTACGTTGCGTATTTGAGGGTTGTTCCTCACCCTAAGTATATTTAGGAGGTGCTATTTTTTAAATCCCAGGAGACTGAGCAGGGGTGGCCCCCTGGTCACTGGCACCACTGGAAGGGGGTGGACGCCCCCCGCGCTGCCCAGTCTCCCCAACCCTGTGGGGAGAAGGGGCGAGGGAGGGACCTGCTCGGCGTCACTGTGAGGAGCCAAGATGATGGGGGAAGTTACAGTAAGTAATTCCCCACATCTCGGAGCGGGGCTGAGGTCGGCGCAGCCGGCTGGACAGGGACCACTCCTGGGGTGCTGTAAGGCAAACGTTCTGCCCTGGAAGAGGCTGGTGATGCCCTTCCCACTGCTGAAACGGAGTCTTCTTAAACTGGGGAGGTTTGGGGCTGGTTTAAGACAACTTTCTTCAGGCACTGGATTGGGACAGGGACACTTAGGTGGCATCCAACAAGCTGCGGCTCCCCCGAGAGGGTCACCTCCGTCACTCCCCGTGACAGCCCCGCGCCCGGACTACGGAGGCCTGCTGAAACAGGTACCATCATCCTCACATCCTCGAGAAGCCGAAGGCTCCGGGGATGGGGGTTGAGGTGCGCCCCCCCCCCCCCCCCCGGGGTTTGCAGGGTGGCTGGGGCTGAAGGACGTGTCTTGTGGTGCAGGGGAGACAGCTGCCAGCGTGACGTGCGTCGTGAGTTGAGATGGGAGCGGGGAGGGCTCCCGGCACTGCCTTGAAATACCGGAGGCATCAGATGTGAATTTAGCAGCTCTTGACCTGATTTGGATTAAATTTTAGCCTGCTTAGCCAAATTATTGAAAGGAAGAAAAAAAAAATGAACTCATAAGTGCTGCCATGCCCCGTGTCAGCAAGGCAGGGTGGGTGTTTTTACTTGTCGGGTCTTTGTCTCATAACTTCAGAGTTTATGAAAATTAAATGGATTTTTATTCCCACTTTGGGGTTGTCATCTGTAAACGGTCACGCAGAGCCATCCCAGTGGGATGGGGGGGGGTGGCACAAGGGGGACCTGCATGCGGTTGTGTCCTCTTGGTGTGGTCTTCTCCATCGTGTTCCCTGCCTCTCCGTAGCCTGTTTAACGTGGCAGGGCCAGGCAGGCACCCGAGCTGCTGTGGCTGCTCCCCAAGTTGACTTTTTTTACTTTATTAGTAGGGTTAACTTGCGGATAAACGAGGCTGCCAGGGAATTTAGGGAGCAGCAAAGAAAAAAAAAAACCCACAAAAAATCAAATTTGGAGCTGAGGTTTGTCCTTTCCGATCCTGAAACTCCACTGCAGAACCAATGTCAAGAAAAGCTTCGGATTAGGGGAGAAATGCACTTCTTTTTTTTCCCACCCCAACAAACCCAACCAACTTCAATTTCTGGTGTTCATCTGCCACGTTCACAGCCAGCATGCTGCGGGGTGTCTCACCCATTTCACGCTTCTCCCTTAGCTTTGGTTTCCTAATGGTATGTGTTTGGGGCTTGATGCTGCCGTGCTTGAATGCAGACTTTTATCCACCAATGGGATGTGACCATGTAAAACTACGTTTCTATTTATTTTTAAAATCTTTTGCACCAAAAAAAACCCCACAAAAACATTTTAGAGCTTGGGATGTGGCTCGCTTCAAGTAGTAGTTTGTGAATTAAAGGAGTCTTCACTTGTTTGACAAAAACATTGCCAAGCTCCGCAGAAGTTACCGGGCTGGAGGTCATCTCTCCTCATGTAGGTCAGCCTGGGTGCACTCGCAGCACCGTTTGGCCTGGTTTGGGAGATGAGAACATCAAACCATTGAATGGTTTGGGTTGAAAGGGACCTTCAAAGATCATCTAGTCCAACCCTCCTGCCTTGGGCAGGGACACCTTTCAGTAGATCAGGTTGCTCACAACCCCGTCCAGGCTGACCTTGAACACTTCCAATGATGGGGCATCCACAGCTTCTCTGGCCACCCTGGTTTGATGGGGCATCCACAGCTTCTCTGGCCACACTGGCCATCCAGTGTCTCACCACCCTCAGCGTGAAAAATTTCTTCCTTACGTCCAGTCTAAATCTGCCCTCTTTCAGTTTAAAACCGTTGCTCTGTCTTTCTTAGCCCCCATTCGAGGGGCAGAATCTCCTCCCTTGCCCTGCTGGCCACGCTGCTTTGGATGCAGCCCAGGATACGCTTGGCTTTCTGGGCTGCGAGCGCACATTGCTGGCTCATGTCCAGCTTTTCATCCACCAGTACCAAGAAGTCCTTCTTGCCAGGGCTGCTCTCAATCCCTTCATCCCCCAGCCTGTAGTGATACCGGTTGCCCCGACCCGGGTGCAGAACCTTGCACTTGGCCTTGTTGAGCTTCATGAGGTTCGCATGGGCCCACTCCTCCAGCCTGTCAAGGTCCCTCTGCATGGCATCCCTTCCCTCAGGGGAATCAACTCAGCTTGGTGTCATCCGCAGACTTGCTGAGGGGGCCCTCAGTCTCACCATCTATGTCATTGATGAAGGTATTTAATAGTACTGGTCCCAGTACAGACCCTTGAGGGACAGCATTCGTTACTGGTTTCCACTTGGACATTGAGCCATCGACTGTAACTCTTTGGACACAGCCATCCAGCCAATACCTGATCCATCTAACAGTCCATCCATCAAACCCATCTCTCTCCCAATTTAGCGGCAGGAATGTTGTGGGGGACCGTATCAAAGTCTAGGTAGACGATGTCCATAGCTCTTCCCTTGTCCACCAATGCAGTCACTCCATCGTAGAAAGCCACTACCTTCATCAGGCACAATTTGCCCTTGGTGAAGCCATGTTGGCTGTCTCTAATCACCTCCCCGCCTTCCATATGCTTCGACATGTCTTCCAGGAGGATCTGCTCCATGATCTCACCGGGCGGGATGAGATGCTTCTCTTGAAGGCAGGAGTACTAGCAGTAAGGTAGTAGCAGTAATTTACCTGCAGCAAGTGCTGGCTTTTTTAATAAAATTAATGGAATTTTAAGCTGTTTTTGTTAAAACTAACCCTTCACAAAATGATGAAGGTCATCGGCATCCTGGCTTTGGGGTTGAACGTGCCGCTTCTCTGAAAGACAACCTGAAAACCCAAAGCTCAAAAGCCTTTAGGAAGACACATGGAGATGGGGAATGGGCAGGGGCTGCGGTCAGCCGCGTCACAAGCGGTGGGGCTGGATTTGGCCAAAGCTTTTTGGCCAGATATGTTAAAGAGTGGCGTGGAGGACACGGAAGAGATGGAGATGCCCAAGAATGAAATCAGAAGGCTGCATATTTCAGAGAGATCGGCAGAATCGCCTTGGGGGGGGACCTGGGGACAAGGCAGGGATAAAAGCAGGCAGAAGAAGGACAAAGGAGCTACCAGGTGGCTTGGAAACCTTGAGGACCACTGCTTCCTTGCACCACGTAGGTGCCATGAGCCCCTTCCCTGGCTACACGGCGAAGCATAGAGACAGGCAGGAGAGGCGGGCAGGCTCGAGCTCCATCTCCAGCTTTTGTGCAGCTTTCCTAATTAATTAGGTGCTTCGAGAAGGTGCCCAAGGAGGTCATGCCTTGGCGTGACCCGACAGCGCCGCAGGGCTGCGGCATCTCTCTTGGCTTGGTGCCACTGGCATCTGGGGTGACAGCATCCCTGGGGAGAGGGTCAAAGCCGTAAGAGCCGGAGGCTCAGCATCCAGCTGTTTCACCAGTGATCTTTTGCCCGGAAAAAGCCTTTCATCTTTAAAGCGGTTCACAAATCATCACTAATTGCGTCCGTGCAGGTGCTGGGAGGCAAATGAAGCTTAATTAGGGCATGCAAAAGGCTCAGATCCTCTCCAGATAGGCAAGCTTTGAGTTTCTACTCCCTTGATGTGCAGCACCCTGGAGCTGAGAGTGGGTCTGGGCTTCCATCCCACTGTCTCGCTGCCAGAGCAAGACCCGTCTGCAGGATCGTGGTGCGATGCTGGTGCCTGCCCGGGGTGGGAGGTGGAGGTTTTTCAGCTGGTTGACTTCTCGCCCGTGGTTCTGGGATGTGGATAACAGCTCCGTGTTCATGCATGCATCTCCAGAGCCGAGCCGAGGAGCAGGCATCGGTGCCCATGTGTAACCCAAGCACCGAGCACCCCTGCTCGGCATCGAGTTGGGAAATCAAAGCCTTTCTCTGTGCTCACCCCCAGAGCATCATCCTGCCAGCTCCCCACTTCTCAAGGTCCCTTGGCATCCTCACGGCACCTGCGACGGTCCTCAACTCCTGCTGCAGGGATGCGGCCACTCTGCCCAGTCCCAGCAGGCTTGATTTGGGATCAGCCCATCCCCAAAACCCCGTCCCCATCCCTCTCCCCAGTGCCATACATCCTGGTACAGGGCTGGTGAGCGTAGAGCCAGCGTGGCATCAGCTCCATCCCCAGTGAGCACAGAGCCAGTGTGGCATCAGCTCCATCCCTGCTGGCCCAGGGGCCCATGGCTGTCACCTCCCCGTGGAGGTGACCCCGTGCTGGGTGCGGTAGCCCCCCAGGACTGAAGGGACCAGAAAGAGC